TATTATTTAGGTTGAAGGTATTATATATTGGACCTGTTTGGAAATTACAGATAGCTGATAATTAATCGTATTAGTGAAAATGATCATTATTTTCTTAATTGTTTATATTATTTTCTTAATTGTTTATATTAGGTGATTGTATTAGCTGTTTATACATATTGTTGCTTTGTGAACTATTTATAAGTGAATAGCTACTCAAAAATGTAAGAAATTAATTAACAAGAATATTTTGTAGAGTTGTTGATTCTACCTTTTTCTAACAATATTAATTTATGTGGTAATTTTTTGGAAACATATATTGTTAGAAAATCATGTCTTGGCCTGAGTTTTAACTGATAATTTTTATGAATAAAACTTTAATTGTGGTTGAAATAAACTATGTGGAAAAATTCTATGTTTAGAGTAGATATTCGTGGTATATTATTTTTCTCAAAAATAATTTTCAGTCAGAGCATCCACAATGCTTTGGGTTCAATTAAAAAAATTTGAATGCCACCTGGAAATAGACTCAGTCTAAAAAAATATGTTCTCCAATGCAAGTGTCGGTGGACTAGGTCTTGCTGATGTGGCAGCAAGAAAAAGAGACTCGGTCTAAACTTAAGTCCATTTTAAACCCAAGTAGAGACCTAGTCTCCTTACATTGGAGTAGATTTTGTTAATTTTATATATTTTTGTCCATGTCCTCCAAGACTTAGGTTCATTTATATTCCACATAGACAAAACTAGACCTAAAGCATTGTAGATGCTCTCATGAGTGAGAAATGAATGATTATAGTTGGACATTAATTGGTACGTAAAACTTTGATTTTTGGATTCAAAAGGAAGTAACTTATGCTACATTAGACTCTTAAATGAAAATAACTTCTTTATTATAATAAGAGAGTTTGAAAGGTTACAACAACAATTAAAGCCATGCACCAAGTGGTAGCGGTAGCTTTGGCTATTTAGCGTGTGCGCGTGCGCCCACCCGTCGGCTCGGCATGGGCTTGGGCCTGAGCCTTGTACTTGGTCTTGAACTTGGATCTTGAATCTTAGTACTTCGCAATTGCACTTGAGTGACCTTGGACGATTTGGGCCAGTGTTGGACTTGAGCCTTGAGCCCAATCACTATATTTTTTTTGCTGTAAAAATATTTGCAACGTCTAATTATCCATAACTACCAAAACACTAACTCGATCTCATTTTTTTAACAATAACAGTTATTTGTACTTAATATTATACATGAAAAAAAATTGATTTTTTATTTTTTGTTTTTTAGCATATGCATATATTGACAATTTTTATATGAATTTTATTAATATATACATACATATATATATATATATATATACATATACATATATATATATACATATATATATATACATATACATATATATATATATATATTACTTAATTTGTTGTCTTATATTTTAAACCTATAAATGTAATTAATTTATTAAAGTCATTTTAGTAATCACTATCGGAATGAAAATATATTTTCATAATTGATTTAACAATATAGTTGCGGAACAATTACTGTAAGGATAAAAGTGTAGATTTAGATTTTTATCTTATGATTAGTCATACCAAACAAATGGAGGATCAAATTAATCCCCAACACTATCTAAATGTTAGTCTTACACAACAAACATAATATCTCAATTTAATCTATACAGTACAATCTTCTTCTCAAAATTAAACTAATCTAATTATGTCTAGAAAAGCAAACACGATAATTATTAGAATGGAAAAGAGAGTGCGGTTCCACCAAGTGAAGCGCACCATAAGAGGGTGAGCTAGATACACTTTAGTGAGGTTTCACCCAAAACCAATTGGTGATAGGAGAAGTAGCACACTAGGCTTATATATAGACATGGCCAAAACTCGGGCCGGATCACGGCTCGGCCCGGCCCGCCGGATCACCGGGCTCCAAAACACTGACCCGGACCCGACACAGACATATACTCGTGTCGGGTCAATGGCCCGGTTGACCGGGCCGGGTTCGTCATTTTTTTCAAAATGCAATAGGAAAAAATGAAAAAAAAAATTAGAAAAAGCGAGTCATGACCCGTCCCGGACCGGGCCCCGCCAGGCCGGGTCCGGTCCTGGCTGGACGACCCTTAGCCATGTGTACTTATATACTAGGCTCATTTCCCTCTAGAATCAATGTGGGACAACTCACAAGTAATATTCCAACATGTCCCCTCATTTGTGAGTCCTTAGTAAGCCCAAGCCTCACGTTCCCTCATTTTTGAGTCCTTCGCAAGGACAAACCCATAAAGCAGAGGCCGGGTAGAGAGTCATTGCAGGTCCTAGGGCAGGCCCGCTCTAATACCATATTAGAATGAGGGAAAAAGTGCAGTCTCACCAGTCCTTCGCAAGGACAAACCCACAAAGCAGGCCGGGTAAAGAGTCATTGCAGGTCCTAGGGCAGGCCCGCTCTGATACCATATTAGAATGGGGGAAAAAGTGCGGTCCACTAAGTAAAACACACCATAAGAGGGTGAACTTAGGTACACCTAAGTGACGTTCCATCTAAAACCAATTAGTGATGAGAGGAGTAGCCCACTAAGCTTATATACTAGACTCATTTTTCCTATAGAATCAATGTGGGACAACTCACAAATGATATAACACCAAAAATGTATGGAATAAAAATTCATCTCTTGCAACATTTTCTTGTTATGGTATCGAATGGTGGGATGTTGACAATTAGTGAGTAATATTACATGAATTTGTGTGTTCTATCAAAAGGTGGAGACAGCTTTCCATAATTGATGTTTAAAATTTTTTCACAAATATCTGGTACGAAAAGCAAGGAAATGTGGGGGAGAATCTAGAAAAAAAAAAGGCCCATTTGCCATTAATTTCCTAAAAAAACAGTTCAGAGGAATTCTCTCTTCCAAAATGAAATGATGAGAGAGAATGAGCTTAGAGAGAGAAGGTGGGAAAAAAAATAAATAAATAAAAAGAGAGCAGAGAATATAAAAGGAGAGACCGGATGTTGACAAATTTCGTGTCACTGTTCTTCCAAGGTTCGTTTGTTTATGAAGAGATTTTCTTACATAGGGATCTCCTCAATTTGTAATCAGGTTGATGTCGTTTAAGTAAGGTCTCGGGTTCAAGTGTTTGTAAATGCAGAAAACCCTTGATTGAAGACTCACCGACTATTGCCAAGTGTGCGATCCGAGTCGACCAACAGATTAGTCGGGTAATGCTCTGATTAAAAAAAAAATTACTTTCTATAAAGAATATAACTTTGTTTATAAGCACCGCTCAGATATATATTGACTTGCAAGAGTAACTATTCTTTCTTTGTTTCTTTCGTTTTCGATTTTCCTCCCATTTTCTCTCTCTAGAGGTTCCATGGTTTCTTTTCCTAGGCGTGGGGAGAGGGAGAGAGACTGGCCCAGCAGATCGAAAGCTCCAATCTTTATTAGTTGGTTTTTCATGGGATCTGAGCTGTGATTCTATGGAGTTCAACAGACCAGTACTCCTTTGATTTTTCCTTTGTTTCGTTTTTTCAATTATTAGTGTTGCTTTATCTTGTCTGCTCCTATTATTCTTTTCTTGTTTTTTTTTTGCCCCTTTTCTGTTGGCTTTGAATTTGGCAAAAATTCAAACTTTATATATTCAACTGAACTGGGGATACACTGTTATTCGATTCAATTAATGAAGGGTTCTTGAGAAAGAGGCAGTTTCACGATGTGGGACTGAGGTAATTTTGTTCTTTTTTGTTTGTTAATGTATATTTTTTTTATTTTTTTAAGGTTTACATGGTTTTGACTCTGACCCAGAAGAAGAAAAACTCTTTTCCCCCTTTTTTTTCCCCTCAAAATTTCATCTTTTGACAAATCATTTGCTTGGTTGAGGTCATAATTATATTCAAAAAAATGTCTGCTTTTCTGAGTTCACAAGTCTTGATGTTAATGATAATATCATTGTTCGATTGATTTGATTAACTTTCAGCTGTATGGGCTATCAGTTTGTCTTGAATTTGATCTTTACTTGAAAGGGGGATTTTGTTCTCATGTATGATCTGCTTTCTATTTGCTATTATTTGCTTTGCAGTGTACATAAATATGCAGATTTGTTCTTGGTAAGTTTTGGCTTCTAAAGCTTATTCCTTTGGGATTATAATTCTTAGTTTGTCGATATTATCGGAATTTATGCTTCAAGGTAGTATACTTAAGTCCAGTCATAAATGCTCAGGTTCTTCATATATTACAATTTTGAAATGGTTAACATCCTTTGTTTATGGTTACAGCTCATAATTTCTTCAGGAGTATAGTTCTTCATAGTTTCTTGTTTTGGTGATGTTATCTGTAATTATGATTGAGGAATTTTTTTTTAGTTCCAGTGTTTGATGTAGAGATTGTTCAAATTCTTACGATTTGTAATATTACCGTTATCGGAGCATGCTACATTGTGTTAGCTACTTTCACGTATTTTTGTCTTTTATGGCTGATGAGGTTAGCTTTAAAATATCGGTATTCCCTTGTCATTAATGTGACGCGCCGGATAAAATTTTATCATATCCATGTTCAAATTGTATTTGAAGAATCTTGGTTGATTTGGTTTTGGTTGTGTGAATAATGTTCTTTATCCTTAAAGTAGCCCATTTTTTTTTATTTTCCTTCAGTTGGTTGTTTCTCATATCCAACTGGCGAATCCTGGTTAGATTTTTCTTGAGTTCCTCTATGTTCATGTTTATTTTCTTCGTGTTATTAATACTTTTCATAAAGCAAACCTTTTATCATCCGAAAGGTATGAAAAAATTGACGAGTTTGTTAAACAAAAGATAATATGCATGATTCACGTTCGGGTAAGAAAACAATGTCATATTCTTCAACATTATGGAGTATGCACTAGTCAAGATAATAGTTCAGCAAATGATGTTCATGCGTAAATCGCCAATTTGCTCCTTGGAATTGTATAAATTACTAAACCTATATTTCCTAACATTCAGGAATGGGAACAAAGGTACAGTGCTACATGCCAGGATATTATTACTCAATGAGGGATCTTAACGAGGACTCTAGCAGTAATAGCTGGCCCGTAAGTTATGGGGATAATAAGGCCATGGCAAACGGGCAATATCATAACGGGTTTGTTCAGAATGTCTCAACAGACGGTTATCTTGGGTATGGCAAGGATGCTTTGAAGCAGAAAATGCTTGAACATGAGGCAGTTTTTAGGAGTCAGGTATTTTTGTCCTTTTCTTTTTTCATTTACCTTATATTAAGATCCCTATTACATTGTGATTGTAGTTCACATTTTGGATTAAAAACACTTAGCAGAATGAAAACGAAAAATTTTGGTAGAATATATTATATATAACTATAGTTATATTAATGACTTGTTCTAAGTGCTACTCTTCTAAGTATCCAGGTTTGTGAACTCCACCGTCTTTACCGAATTCAAAGGGAAATGATGGAAGAATTGAAAAGGAAAGAACAACACAAACTCCGAGTATCGACTGAGCAATCATCGTCCTCGAGCCGTAGAGGATCTCAAGATCCTCGTAAATGGCACATGGCGGGCTTCCCACTATTCAACGAAATCGAGAATTCACCCATGAGTTGTACCAAAGGGTACAGCATCACACAGCCCAGCAGTCACTCTCCTTTCCACAGCATTCCTTCTCTTAAGGAACCCGAGAGGCCCTTGAAGTTAAGGAAAAAGCTGTTTGATCTTCAACTCCCGGCAGATGAATATATTGACACAGAGGAGGAGGAAGGCAAAGTATCTGACATGTTGAGTCATTCTCCTTACACGAAAGGTGGACGACGTGAAATTAAGAATTTGTCCCTCGGCGATCGTGGAATTAAGTTGGCCGATTTAAATGAGCCGTTTGAAGTTGAAGAATCTTTGGGCCCATCTACTGTTGATTTCCTTGATCGTAATGGGAAGAAAAAAGGCGAGAGTCGGCTTGATAAGTCGGATGCGGGTTATTTTGGTGAAAATGAAGAAAACCGACGCATTTGTGACGGGTTTTCTGTTAAGTCGTGTGTTGCAAGTAAGGTTAACGAGAGT